CGAACGTTTTTGTTGTAAAACAAAGGGGGGCCTAACAAAAACAGTTTGGGAACCACTGCTATACCATATTACTATTTATTTAATTATAAAACACTATGCAAAAGTGGCGTGTGTGGAAAACTAAGTACCCCATGATTCAGTAGCTCGTTGAACCAACTTTAGCAGCAACAACTTCATCAGTCTCTCACATTATTGTGTGAAGGAATTTTTGCCCACTCTTCTTTATAGCAGCGGTCCCAAATCCTTTTTGCGCCACAGACCAGTTTATGTCCAACAGTATTTTCACAGACCGGCCTTTAAGGTGTCGCGGATATATACAACAAAATAAAACCAGTACCGCTACCCCCCAAAAAAGAAGATTTAATCATAACACAGCCAAGGAAACCAAGTTAACAATAATTTTTTTTTTTTTAATAACGATGAAATGATAACGATAAAAACACATAAAAACATCCGAAAAACATAAATTTTACACCCGAGCCTCAGCTCTCATGGCCCGGTACCAAATGACTCCGTCCATGACCTGGGAATTGGGGACCGCTGCTTTATAGCATTGCTTTGGTTCATTGAGGTTTGTGCATAGCTCTGTTAAGGTCAACAGCGTTTCAAGTAGGTAACACCTTGATAATTTTCTTTATTTAGTCATTATGTTGTAGATCTGCTCCTGTGTTTGAGATCATTGTTATATCACAGGGGTGGCCAACTCCAGGCCTCGAGAGCCGGTCTCATGCAGGTTTTAGATAACATCCTGAGTCAACACACTTGAATCAAATGATTAGTTCCAGGCCTCTGGAGAACTTGAAATGTTGAGGAGGTAATTTAGCCATTTAAATCAGCTGTGTTGGATCAAGCACACATCTAAAACCTGCAGGACACCGGCTCTTGAGGCTTGGATTTGGCCACTCCTGTTCTATCACATGACTCAGTCTGGCACAAGCTTTAGCTGTCAGACCTCTCTTTTGACCCCAGAACGATTTGGTACACAGAGGAGTTTACAGTCAATTCAACAGTGATTGCAAGGTGTCCAGGTTCTGTCACTGTAAAAGAAGCCCAAATCATCACCTCTCCACCACTGTGCTTTACAGTTGGTATGAGGTGTTTGTGTTGGGTTGGTTTGCTGTATTTGGTTGTTACTAAATGTGGCAAGTGCATTATGGACAAACATCTACATTATCCTTTAGATAGATATGTGAAACCTATGCTGTGCTGCCCTTTTTACAATTGCACTGTCACTTTTGATGTGTAGTCTTTTTTCTGTTTTTTGTTATATTTTGTTTTTCACTGAATGTTGGAGACTTTGTCACCTCTTAGCATGTGATCTATGAAATGAATTTTTTTCCCCCTTCAATGCAATCAATGTTTGTAGGATTTTGGAACTTAAAGATGGAGATTCATTAATGTTTCTGGATTTTTCTATGAGTGCTTCCCATATGGAAAAGATATATATAAATCTTACAAAGTTTGTATCCGTCTTGTGTGAAACTTGTATGCCTTATATGATTCACTATATGAAGTAGGCCACATCTTATGCAAGTCTTTTATAAGTTTTTTTTTCTTTTCCATATGGGTTTCTTTGTGTGTAAACCTAGTTAACTTTGTTCTGACATCACTCTGATCACTCTGATCTCTCCACACAATATTTGGATCTTTCTACACTGCCAAACACAATGAAACTGGGGCTCCTGTTACTCCAGTACACTGTGATGCTAATGTGGTACTAATGATCATAATGATTTAACTTGGTAGATGTATGAACTCCAGCACAGCAAATCTTTCTATTGGATGTAAGCAGATTATAAAACTCATGTGTCCATGTAAGATATAGAAATTTCCAAAACATTTTAATATTGTTTTCTGCACTGTAATACACTTTTCATTGACTTTAATACAGTTTGAATAATACAGGTTTAAAAATGCCCCAAACATAAAACATATGAATCATTCCAGGTTTCTGGAGTGAATCAAGACTTTATCTTGATGGTACTTCACATATCCAGTCTAAGTTATGCCCATTGCAGTTTCCATCATAGCGGGTCTTCCAGGGATTAGAGGAGGAGTAAATGATAATCACACAATTTTCCTCCTCAACATTTGGTTCTCCATCCATCCAGTACCTGAGAAAAGGCGAGACAGATAATTAAGTGGAAATGATCTATAAAAATCTATAATTAATAATCTGTCTTTTCTTACCTTTGTTCCACCTCTGTGACATTATTAAGCCACACCCATGTCCCCACTGTCGCTATGTCAGTAAGACCAACCCAGAATCCGTTCACCCACTGATGAGGATTGTTTTTCAGAAGTTTGATGGTGTTACTCACGAATGCCTATGTGAGCAAAATAAGAGAAAAATACATTTAAAATTTAGTCAATAAAAATTGTAAATTGCCTACTTACAAAACTGGCCACGATTGCCCGTGGGATGCAAAGTATGCCAACACAGAAACTCCTAAACAGCCTTAAGGCTACATTTAAAAATCTTTGCTAATCACTTTCAGTGGCTGTTGTATGTCTGTGGACGATGTATGTAGATGACTTATCTGTTTTCAAGCTTCTTCTCTCTTATTTTCAACCCACCTGCTCCTGTTGGTTATCAATCACAACAAGGTCAGAGCCACGACTAACACAGTCCACTCTGCTCTCATGCCAGTTCCTTTTGACAGCAGAGGACTCGGTGGAAGAGAAGAAATAGCAGGACGAGTTGAAAAGAATCCATCCAGGAGCGCATTTATCACAAGAGTTCTCTGAGAGAAACAAAGGATTTCTTGTCATTTCAGGTACTTTAATGTATTCAGAGGTCACAGATTAAAACAAAACTTCTCACCTAAAGCTGATATGTTGGACTTTAGGTTTGTCTTCTCTATTCGCAGGGCTCCCATCTGTTTCTCATAACCATCGTTGACGGTCTTCAGCTGCTCAATTTTCACCTTTACTTCTTTGTGGTTGTTGATCGCGCTCTCTAACGCCTTCTTGGCCTCCTCTTCGGCTTTGATCACATCGCTGTGGTTGCCTCGGAGATAGTCAAGCTCACTGAAGAGCTGTGTTACAGCTGGGTTGGAAATGTGCAAGGAGTCCTCTTTGACTTTTGCACCTAAACAGGTAAGAGAGACAGCAAGTGTGATCATTAGTTCATCATTATGAAATGATTAGTGTTTTGAAATATGGATATGCATTTCC